GGTTTTTTTTTTTGGGTGGACAGGGGTGGGGGGTGGGGAGGGCAGGGATAGAGAGCTAAAAAGCTTCTCATGCAAGTCCGAGTATAGGACCCCGGTGGTCACTAGATTAAGCATCAAATGTTAGACTAGTAAAACTACATTGCTCGGTTGACCTTTTAGCATGTTTATCCTTTTCTTTTTCTTTCTCTTAATGGAATGGGTAAAGGGTGATGTGAGCATGGAGAGTTTCAGAAAATAAAAAGATGAAGTTCGTACTTTAGGTTGCTGAAATGGGAAATAGAAGCGGTACTTTCGTCTTTGCTGGAATTAACAAGTATGGAAGTTTCCAAAATGGATTTTGTAATCCTTACCCGAATTGTCGTACAACAGGAACCTACTTTTGTATTCTGCTGTTCAAGTTCAACGTTTGCTTTTTTCTTGTCATTTGCATAGTGACTAAATATTCCAGTCTGGATATGAACTTGAAGTTGTATATAACAGGTCACCCCTAATCTCTACGGAAATCTGGTGGCAAATACAGCAGCTGGTATCGCTGGAGGCACTGGTGTTATGCCGGGAGGTACATATAAGTAACAGTCAGAATTTGTTCTCTCTAAATTAATGTGGATGTGTTTCAATGTTTTTCCTGCATTATTCATCCCCTCTGCTATGAAGGAGTATCTGGTCGATTTTGATATGAAAATGATCATTCATCTTTTGAGCTGCTTTAAAGCTTGAAAAAGGTCTGAACGGCTTAATGTTAATTATATGACTGAAGAGATTGGCTTCTTGTGCTTCAGGCAATGTGGGGGCTGACCATGCTGTGTTTGAGCAAGGTGCTTCAGCAGGAAATGTAGGAAACGAGAAGATACTAGAGCAAAAGAAGGCAAATCCAGTTGCCTTGTTTCTTTCATCAGCCATGATGTTGAGACATCTGCAGTTTCCTTCATTTGCAGATAGACTAGAGACTTCGGTGAAGCGTGTAATTGCTGAAGGTAAATACATGACCAAAGATCTTGGTGGAGATTGCACCACCCAAGAAATCACTGATGCTGTCATTGCAAATCTGGACTAATTTCAAAACCACTTCTATCTCTTTCGTTCTAGAGATGATTCATGCTACATGTTAATTCATCATTCTTGTGATGACTTTGATTGTTCTCTACTTCCGTTGGTGCGGCGTGCCTTTCAAGGTGGCATATTCCACAAAATAATGTGAATCTCCTAAGTGGAAATATTAAAGATACAGGATTTTCCAAGCTTATAGCCATTTATTTCTTATAGCATGTTTTTGTAACGAAGGGTAATAATTCAAGGTATTTCAACTTTTGAACTTGGAGACAAGCTTCTTGACCAACAGTTTGTATGGTTTCTTTTGCCAAATGGCGCCAGATGGACTTTTCTTTTTGGTCTTGGGGCTAGCATAAATTTGTCTGAGGAACAATTAACGCTGACCCACATTCGTAAATCTATCAAATTTGGCTATCTAGGCAAGAATGGACACTAAACTTGATCTTAAAGGACCGTTAAAGAAGGCACTGTATACCAGTATAGTTACTAAAGCAAGCACAACCGTTGTGAATGTCACCTTTTGTGCGAAAACAAACTCCGATGTAAACATCCATTTCATTTAGCAATATAGTACTGGGTAAGTAATATTTGGTGGCATATTAGATTTTGTTTCCACTAACTATCGCATCCTGTTATTTGATTAAAAAGGAAAATGAAAATACAAGAATAACTATGTAAGGATAATGGTTATGGAATTGAAAGATCAACTATTCAGCCATCCTTATCAATGAATGAGAGTGTCAACGGCCTCAACAGTTGATCAAACCCTTTCTCCCCAAAAAGAGAACTTTTCTTTTTGTTTATAGTTTAGAAGGCAACTATAAACGTGTTATATTATTGTATTGTTTGAGTGAGACATGATTCCAATTTCAACAAACAGCTCAAGCTTACGTTGCAGTCAGACAATTTAATGAATATCCCACGTCTTGACATGTGGAAAGACTCATACTCCCTCCATCTAATATTATCAGTCGTGGTTACTAAAAATAGCTGTCTCAACTTATTTATCACTTTAGAAGTTCAAGACAAAATTGATTATCTTTTTTCTTATTTACCCTTAATAATAATTATCCTTGAAGACTATAAACCCCTCAATTATAGATAATTTTGTTCAAATACCAATGAATAAAGATTAAATTTTAAAACATGAATAAGGATAAAATAGTCAAAATTCCATCCTAATTAAGTTTTCTTAAAGGACGTGTATAAGATAATCGTGACAACTAATATGAGACGGAGGGAGTACAAATTAAGGAGAACAAATGCCACAACTGCAGTCCCAATTAGGATGTTTAATTATCGCTATCTAAATCTTACACCAAGTAATTTGACAGCTTATCCGTCAAACACCCACCCCAAATCATAAATTAATCTTCTCTGTATATAATTCGGCCAGAGGCTTATCTAGTGTAGAAGCTATAGGTTCAACTACATCCATAGTTTTCGTTCATACCTTATATTTTTGTCCAAAAAATCATTAAATATATACAAATAATAAATTTTGAACCATTAAATTAGATGTTCTGAATCCATAAAATTTAAATTCTGAATTCGGCTCTAAATTCGACTTTAAGTTCTGAAAAAAGTATAGGCAGTTGGGTTGGGACCGATAGTTATGGGAATTTAAATCGTGCCAGGCATGAGTGTGTTTTCGAGTTACGACTTAAATCACAAGCAATCTCTTATCCGTTCTTGAACTACTACTCCCCATGCAACTTGGCAATAAACAAATTAAATCTGTTCTGTGCGCAAATAGTGACTAATTAGAGAATAATATTATACCTTCTGTATGGGTTCGAATTTGGTCGATCACGTCTCAGAGGTAGCACGACCAACCATTAGGTATCAACGTGTCGGTATAGGGGGAAGAGGCGACCCAGGAAGGAAAGGAGAGACGTCCTCGTGTCGTTGTCGGTTCCGTTATAAAATATACTTTTCCTTTTGTCGTTCCTGTAATGTGTAAAGGATCCTCCGTTATATAAGGGGGATCCAGGTCTTGTAATTGGGGGATCTTTTTTGAGGGACAAGAAATACAAATTCTCTCTTTTTCTCTCTACCCTTATCTTTCTACTGATCTATCTCTTCTACTGTGGCAAGTCCATCTTCCTAAAAATTATCCTAGGGTTTATTATTCTCGACTACGATTTACCCCTTCATCCTTTTGATTGATTTGCTTAAAAAGAGTTAACATCTTTTGAGTCAAACAATTTGGCACCGTCTGTGGGGATTTCCATAGTCGAAATCATAATTCTCATCTAGGATATCAAAAGCAACGATCACTATTCTTCATACCCCATAAGAACCAACAATGGCGGAAAAAGAAGCAAGGTTGAAAATGATAGCAGATGTCTCAAACAACCTCTTAGGCTCCCTCGACGAAGCCAATAAGGAAGATACCGAGAATATAACACCAAGCGGTACACCGGAACGGGGAATCTCACCCTCTTCGCACGGGGATCTTTTTTGAGGGACAAGAAATACAAATTTCTCTCTCTTTTTCTCTCTACCCTTTATCTTTCTACTGATCTATCTCTTCTACTGTGGCAAGTCCATCTTTCTAAAAATTATCCTAGGGTTTATTATTCTCGACTACGATTTACTCCTTCATCCTTTTGATTGATTTTCTTAAAAAGAGTTAACATCTTTTGAGTCAAACAATTTGGCTTGCGTGAGAGAGGAGTTTCCACGTCTACGGCGAAAGAAACACCACCAGCAATCAAAAAGCTGCTAGAGGAATGGTTGACGAGCGCCCTAAGCAACATGCTCGAGAAACCCCCTCAGGGAAATGCCGAAGATTCACCAACGTCGGAAATTGCAGTCATCACAGGCGAGCCGGGCCCTACACGAACGAGCAACACCCGCACTGTCATCGACGCAAGTGGTGATGCACTCGCAACTGTACTAAAGAAAATGGAAGAAATGGAAAACGAGAACAAAGTGCTTCGTGATCAAATGAAAGAACACCAGGAAAGGGTCGACAAAATACCTGGCGCCCCCACGCTGCTACCAAAACGCGATGTGGGAAGGTTTGTCGAGCAACCGTACAGTGAGGAGGCTGCTCCTTACCCCATCCCTAAAACCTTCAAAATGCCACCATACTTGAAAATATACGACGGGACCACGGATCCAGAAGATCATCTAATCCATTACGTCACCGCGGTAAAAGGCAATGACCTATCAAAAGAACAAGTGCCATCTGTACTGATGAAAAAGTTCGGTGAGACTTTGACAGGAGGGGCATTAACATGGTATTCACAGTTACCAGCACGGTCGATATCGGCGTTCGAGGAAATGGCAGATAAATTTGCCACCGCTCATGCAAGAGCAAAGAAGGCCGAAGCTAGGGTCAACGGCATCTTCGCCATCCGGCAAACAGTAGGCGAGGGACTCCGAGACTTCCTGGCCCGATTCAACAGGGTGAGAATGGGACTGCCAAATGTGTCAGAAGGAATGGCGGTCGCGGCCTTCCAGAACGGATTAAATAGGAGCAGATCAAAGGCGACCAATAAATTGCTCAACAGACTCATGAAGTACCCCCCCACCACCACATGGGAAGAAATTCATAACGCCTACTGCCCTGAGTTAAGGGCAGACGAAGATGATCTTAATGGGCCAACTCAGCAATTAACGTCGGTTCAAACCGAAGCAAGAAGGGATAGACGCAACGATGGGCGAAGAGATCAGCCCCCGCGTTTCATTCGAGAAAGACACCAGCCTTATGTCAGAACATCTAACCCGCCTCCTCCGAGACATGCAGAGGCCGTGCTACGACACACCGCACCCATTCGAAACGAAAGAGGTATGCCTCCACTATTATCTGCTCATAACTTTTGTGTTTCCCCTTCAGAGATAGTGTACGCACTAGAGAAGCTGGGTACGAAGGTACAATGGCCACCAAAAATGAGATCGGATCCAAGCGCAAGAAGGTCAAACGTCCTCTATAATTCCATCAGGAAAGAGGACACAAGACCGAGGATTGCATAGGCCTACGACAGGAGGTAGTCAGAATGTTGAACTAGGGGTACCTAAAAGAGCTACTCAGCGATAAAGGAAGGGCCAACTTCGCCAAAGGACGCGACCCCTCTCAAGGACCTCCGGAACTACCATCGCCGGCACGCACCATACAGATGATCATTGGCGGCAGCGATGATTCAGTGATCAACCATGTGAAATTCACTGCCACACACAAACTCAAGCGGATGGTCGCTCACGAACGGCATGACGACTTCGAAGACAGTATCATCTTCGAAAAGTCAGATGCCGACGGTTTGTCTTTCCCCCATCATAATGCTTTAGTTATAACTTTACGCATCGCTGATACAGATGTAAAAAGAATCATGGTAGATGACGGAAGCGGCGCGTGTATTATCCACCTGAGAGTCCTCGTACAAATGAGGCTCGAGGATAGAATAATACCGCGTTGCATAACACTAACGGGTTTTAACAATGCAGTAGAGCGGACGTCCGGAGAAATAATGCTGCCAGTCTTGGCAGGGGGAGTCACGTTGGAAACCACATTCCATGTCATGAACCAAGAAACAGCCTATAATGCTATCATAGGACGCCCATGGATACACGCCATGCGAGCCATCCCTTCAAGCTTTTATCAAGTGATCAAATTTCCCACACGATGGGGAGTATTCAGCATTCGAGGCGAACCGCGCACCGCCCAGGAATGCTATCGGATCGCCCAAGACTGCACACATACCAAACAGCTGAAAGAAGCAAGCACGGAGGCATAGCAATTAGCCATGTCGGGAACTAAACCCGACCCACCAGCAGAAGTCATCAGAGACCCTGACATCGTGGAAGCCTGCAAGGCAACTATAGAAAACCTCGACCCAGTCCAGTTGGACGACGCCGACAACACAAAGAAGGCTTACATCGGGCACAACCTCTCGGAGCCAGGTAAGTATCGTGAATTTTTAGCTAACAACGACGATTTGTTTGCATTTTCCCACTCAGATATGCCAGGAATCCCGAAGGACATCGCCACTCATAGGCTGAACGTCGACCCACTCTACCCGCCGGTACGACATATAAGGAGAAAGTTCAATGTTGCAATCAATGAAGCGGTCAGCGAAGAGGTAGATAAATTACTAACCAATGGTTCCATCAGAGAATCAAAGTATCCCCAATGGGTCGCCAATGTGGTCATGGTCAAAAAGAAGAACGGGAAATGGCGAATGTGCGTAGACTTCACCGATGTGAACAAAGCGTGCCCCAAAGATTCCTTCCCGCTACCCCATGTCGACCAACTGATTGATGCGACAGCAGGGCACGAACTGCTGAGTTTTTTAGATGCCTACTCC